ACTATTAGCAAGCGCTTGTATAATAAGCTTGAAGAAGATTATGGGTTAGAAGATATATCCGGTGATGATTTGATAGGTAAAGAAATAAAATGCTTAGATTTGCAATTTCGGTATAAAGGAAAGTGACGAAGCTTAGATGATACCGAAGTAATAGATTTTCAAATTTGCAAAAATTCATCATTTGATTTGGTGCTAGGACGGGATTGATTATGGATGCGCGAAGCAAAAATTAGCTTTGGATTTTCTTTGGAAAATTGTAAGCGCTATGCTAAAATTGAGATAAATGGTATGAGTATCCCATTAATCGAAGAAGATAGCAGACCTACAAGTGACTCTTTGAATCATAAAGCCAGCTCCACAAAAAATAACTTATCTAAATCAACGAAATCTAAACCTGATCTAGCTCAAGAGAAGGTTATAAATATAATTAACAAAATTCTCTTAAATATCGAAGATAGACTTGAAGGGTCATTGTTTTGTAATAATAAGCAATGAAAGAAATGTCATGGAATATTTCACAACAAATCTGAGACAGAGACTAATTCATCCAGCTTTGATTCAGAATTCACGGATTCAGACTGGTATGATCTCGATTAGATAAATCCCTGAAAGAATCATGTTCATGTTAAAAAGAAAAAGATTGACTCTTCTATCCAAAAACATCATAGTATATCAACCATGTCCGCATTCCAGTAGTGATCCATCCAATCAGAATAATTAAAAATCCGTTAACAGTCAGAAATTTATTAACCAATCACATCATGGATAGGATCGACATAGAAGTTCATGGAACATGTCAAATAAAAAGCCCATGATCTCATATTTATCCTACATGCTTATTGCTCTATGATTTCACCGTTACTATTTGGATTGATTTTTGATAAGCCTTCCAGCATTTGAGACGATAGGTTTTTGTATTAACATAATCACCACTATCCCATTCACCTTCTATATTATCTCTTATATTTTCTTTTTTATGATCTTTATTGCATATAGAGCAGGATACTGAACAAGTAAAGTAATCACCATATTCAGTTTGAGCAAAGAAAAAAAATATAGCAATTTATGAATAAGCTATGCATATAATCAATTCTATTGCACATTATACTAAGTCATCCATGTAAAAGTTAATCAAGATTAAAGATTTTTCTATCAATAAACTCTCTAAATTTATATATCTTCTTAGGAATAGTGATTTCTGGATTCTCATCATACCATACCTCAAGAAGATAGATCCCGTTAAGTTGACACAGGGTTCTTTTCTTTCGATCACGGTTAACAATATCCTCAAGTTTTTTAACATCTTTATACCAACTAGTGCTATGAAACCGATGTTGTGCTCCTTGGACCTCCAATGCAATTCGATTATATCGGAAAAATGCATCAAGTTCTAATCCTTCCATAAAAGATGGCCGCCATCTTGTGTGAGTGATCAGAAGTCATCGGAGGATAGGAAAATGGATACTTTCTTGGATGATGCACATAAGAAAAATGTTAGTAATGGGATAATGCAACGTAATAGGGAGAAGAAGCCATTGCATGAATCGAAGTCATCAGATAGTACAGAAACCGTCCTGCCATCTACTTCACTGATGTCGCTAGATGAATCAATTTCTGGAGAGCGGGGTTGCGTAGTGATTACACCAGATAATTCATCTGGAGTCTCTGAATTTTCGGATTCAAAAACTGTGGAAATACTTCAGGACCAGCAACAAAACAAAGAAGTTCGATCACATAAAAAGAAAGAAGTGGAAAATATGGTGCAAGATGTATTTGATTTCACCGTGGATGAATCTGATAAAAATCACATAACAAAATTTTCGCTTACGGGCCATGAGGAAAATTCAGATGCATTGGATAATACAGCCCGCTTATACGAAGATGCATGTAATGCAGAAGATAAAACGATAAAAGCCAATCAGGCAGAAATTTTTATGCTGGTGTAATTTTATTATAGGACTGGATAAAAGTGTGGATGAATCAAAGAAAAGGTGGGTATGAAAAAGGCCAAAGGACAGATTTACAATTTTATTCTTGCACACAATCCTGGTACTAAACGAAATACTTTATATCAACGCATCAGTAGAGCCAGGAAGATTTATGAGTTTATCAAAAAAATAGGAATTGATAAATCAAGTATATCAAAACATATAGCGCGAATTCTATTGCAGAATTATCCGATAGTAAAATTCAAACTATTATTGATTATTTCTCCAAGAATCTCAACACCGAATTACTGGATGAACAGGATGACTTTATTATAGATTCCGAAGAGGAGGTTTCGGATGATCAGACTAATGCATCGGAAGTAGTTTCAGCTGAAGTAAACATATCAACCGCACCTATTCCTTTAACACATATCTCTAATTCTTCAAATGATTCCTCAGAATTCGGTCCAGTCAATTCGAAATATGAGGTGAGTGAGAAAAAGGAATCTTTACCCGAGGAAGAGGTAAGTATACCCGATAATTCCTTAGATTTTAATTTGGATTCCTCTGATGTTGATAATGTCGATAATGAAAATTTCTCTGATAATGAGAGAAAAGATAGATATAATTTCAGCGGAGTATTTTCCGATGACGATGATGAAGGATATTATTATGATTTAAATACCGGTGAAACTTGTACAAAATCAGAGAGTCGAAGACTGGATCGTCGATCAATTTGCGCATATTAATGTAATATAATTTTTAGATACACGTTAATTGATTATTTATATTAAATTTTTCGTCAATCACAAAGAATAAACGAATTCACCTCACAAAATTTCGGGTGTAATGCTAAATCGGGTTAGCCACATTGTGGTTGCCTTCATTTTTTCCATTTAAGATAATCCGGTCCGATTTTCCTTTTTACATTCTTATAATATTGATGCGGTTGAGTTGCAGTAATTTTTTCCTATATATCCACTATGTGAATGCAAAGCAATTCTATGAAAAACAGGTGTATCGCAATCGAGTCGCGGTTGAGTCGCGTTAGAATCTTAGTAATGTGGACTGACACTAATCAGCGAAAGAAGAAACCGAAATGCGAATATAATTAATCAATCGATCATCGTCTATATACGTACAGCGCATTTTTTAATTAGTTTATACGCATTTACACACTATAAAGCTTGTTCACGTTGGGTTTTTATTTTTTATCGAGTGCGAGCGCATCGGAAGATAAACTATAATGATACTGATTATAACATTTCGGGTCAACTAAATGGATTGGGGAATTCTCTATTAGAAAAATACCATATGAGTTTTTGTCCATCGGTTTTTTGATTTACACAAAGAATTTTTATTAACATGCTAGATTTTTCATTGTTAAAAGTCACTATATTGTAGCGAACTAATCTTTTAACGCTGTTTTTTTAAAACAATTTGTTGAATTCTATATAAATCGATGATGAAATTATTGCCGACAACTGCATTAGGAACTGTTACGTTATATCTGGTAGTATTCGGAGTTCCTGCAACAATTGGTGGATCCCAGAAAACGTCCGATACCGGAATACTTATTTGGTAGGCAGGAATGTTCGCACCGGTGCAACCAGTAGGTTGACTACTATTATATTGTAAAGTTCCAAAGTCCCACTATCATATTACAAAGCTATACTTTAGGCCTCTGATGCTTGATCACGAGAAATACTAACAGTAGATTAATCTTACCTCTTGGACAAATATTCCCGGCATTGTTGGTTCTGTTGCACTCACTACTGGTGGTGCTGGTCTCTGACGTGTCCATAGTTTGGCCTAACATTAAAAAAAGACTCTTAGAGATGAGACTATGGAATAATGAAGCAGGTTGTTAGACATACCGTCATTGACCGATGATGACTTCCTTTCCTTATACCATAAAGTTTGATACCTAATACACATCGCACATATTGTTCATGCATCCAATTCTTAAATTTTTCATCCCAGAGAGCGTCGCTCTGATATGTAGCTACTTCGCAGAATATTCGTCCATGAGGATTTCCCTATGTGAACATGTTAATATTAAGAAAATAAATATGATAATGTATACAATTCGATGTACCTCTAGATCGCTGGGGGGAGGACCAGGATGTGGTAAAGTAGGATTTTGAACATGTGCCACATCTGGATAGATTACAATGTCTGATGCTAGTTTTTTTCCGATAACAGTTGGATCATAATGATCTATAGGAAAAATGTAAATGTTATCACGATCCAAAGATCAAGTAGAACTAGAGAGAATTCTCTTACATGGTTGACCTTCAACATCTATTGGTGGATCAATGATTATACCTCCATTGGGAACTTTGAAATAGTCTTGAAGCAGTGAGACAACAGCTTCATGAACTGGGTAGGCCATATCAATAATGTATACGTTTCCGCTGTCCCAATGAAACTTGTATCCGGTTGATTCGTTGCGATCAAGAAAAGTATTATAGTCTTTCACCGAAACTTTCGACCCAATCTGAAAGGGCAAACTGCAGAAATATAAATCAATATTGAGCAGATCTTAAGGAAACCCGTGAGGCACACTCACTTTTCTTCTCCTAAGGAAAAATTTGACAGTTTGGGATAGTTATGGACTATTTTATTTCGGATTTTATTTACATTCTTTACTACTGATTTCCAACCAGAGTTTGGAGAGCGCGAAGTGGACATTTTGAGTTTTCGTATGACTTGTTCGCAAAAAAAAGTTCGGATCATATGTTTTTATGTTTTTGGCCAATCACTGATCAACTAATTCATATGATGAAATAGTTCATCAAACTATTTATTAAAGACGTGTTAATGAGGATTGACTTTCCGAATCTATAATAGAGTAGTTAGATATCCCTGCCATTCACTCAGTTTAAGTTCTGCTTCGATGATGGCAAAAATTTTCACGTAGTGTGAGAAGGCATGTTTTATCAGCGAAGCCGTGCACTCCCATGCATTCATGTAACGGTTGATTATGCAGTGCTGAGATTATGAGTTATAAGTATTCTATCGGGTATAGGAAGCTTCGATGATGTACTTATGTATAGTCGTGATCATTTTTTTTCTTGGCATTTTTCCTGGACCGCGCGGTCTCGCAAATTTTAACCACGTGAATTTAACCCGCCTTTTCGTAGTACCTGCTCAAAGCCAGATCATAGAAGGTTATTCTGCCTGTTAACAATTACCCGCTGACGACGCAAACATAAATTTATCGTCTGGCTTCGAGTGATGAAGTCACGAGAAGGCGGGTTATTCCAAAATCCGATTCGATTCCTTCCAAAATTATGATATTCTTCATTTCTATTTCTACGCTCATCAATGAGGATACGTATTTGAGTATCAATCCATTCAACTATTTTTACGACAATGAATATAATGAGAGAAGGTGGAATTTTGTTGCTTTTATAAGTATATCTTAGGTATTTTAACAGTACTTCAGCAGTACTTTAACTATATTTTAACCATATTTTAACCATATATCTGTGATTATTAGCTCTGCTATTATATAATTTATTGCTTTTCCAACCACACTTCAACATTGTTTCAACCATGTTTTAACGGTATAAATATATGAACGTTCATTTACTTTTTTCATGTAAATATAGTATAATTAATTAAATACATATGCCTCGGATTTGCATATCTCAGATTTGTCTATCTCGGACCAGATAATCTCAAATAGTGAGTGTCGTACATTCTTATCGCTGGAAAATTAATATGCTTATAATTCATCCAAAATAGATCTTTTTCCTCTCCAGTTAGGAAAAAGAAAAATAACTCATTGTTTGTCTTATTAAATAAGGATGCCCTGTATCTGATAATTATCTGCTAATTATATACATTTGACTTCAAGTGATTTATCAGGAGAAGATAGAATCATACTATATTCACAGTACATATATCTCTCCCATTCTCATAGTATACATCACTCGTAAAATATGATAATTATAACACTCTCAAAGAGATGGTTTGAGAATTCATCTACACTAAAAATGAATCTAGTTTTAATCATACATATTGTACCAAATCTAATAGATTAAAAATGCTAAAATCACTAAATATAATATTCCTTATAAGTGATAAATATATCTGGTTTTGATGTTATAACTATTCTCGATAAGAAAGACAGAACATTACTCAAATCCTTTAACATTCATCCTGAATATGATATGAAATATGTCATGTCATATATTGAAAATTATTTTGCTTTTAATGAAAAATGATATGATGAACTCTTCGATAATGAGAGATTATTTAATACATTATCTACCATAAAACAGAATGAAACACCTATTTAATGAGCAATATGAGTAAGAATTCCATTACAAGCTTTGTTAAATTCAGAAAAATTTATTATATATCATCGATATTGTTTGTTTATATTATATGGTAAAGGTAAATTTAATAATTTCCATTATTGTAGATCAAGAATTCATAAAAGTGATATGGTTATTTGTTTTGATTGTTGAAAACTCATAAAAATTGATGACGTACAATCAAAGAAATTATTCCATTTCATTAGAAATAGGTATGTTGAAATTATTGAGCCAGATAATTTGATGCAGAAATATTGGGATCACAAGTGTGATAAATCTAAATCTCAAGATGGATATGCAAGAATTATACAAAGAATATTCTGTTAGTTCCAAGAAAAAGAGTCATTAAATGCACAACTTGCATGAAATAACTTATCAAATAATAATATAATACTCCAGATGATGAAAAGTTTCTAGGTTTAACGAAATATAAAGTAAAAAATTCTCAGACTCAAGAACAATTTAATCAGTAACGTACTAAATGAATTGAATTATATAAAAACAATTCCATGATGCATAGTTTTGTTATTAATAGTCAATATAAAGAATATTATATTTCATATAATTAGATAGATTCTAAAAAGAATCAATTGCAGACTATATTCTAAAAGTGACTTTTAGAAATAGAAGCATAATCAATTATATAATTTAGTTACATAACTTATCTATTTAAAATAAATCACTCTTTTCTTCTCTAGTTCAGAAAAAGATATATAGTTATTTACTTTTCTTATATAATAAGAATACTTCACATTTAACAACTCTCTATTAATTATATATCTGGCTTTGAGTAATGAAATCATGAAAAGACAGAATTTTATTTTGTTATCTTTCCTAAAGAAAAGCTGATAACAATTTTTTACTTTGATTTTTTTATATCAATCCATTTTTATCTAACACAAAAATTCCTAGTGAAGATAATAGATTGTGCTTATTATTGTTTCTCATTCATTTTAATTTCAACACTAGGCTGAATATGTGCATCTTTTTAATTGTATAAGAAGTAGTGAGTAGGATGTATTTATATTAATACATTAATAAATAATGAGAAAAAAATAAATGCCTGTTATTCAATAGATATATCTTGTTTTATTCATTTAATTTCAGAGAAGTGTTCCAACTGTGTCTAACTACTAGAGAATCATTAACTATCTTAGTAAAATCAAAAATCACAAATTTGTAATCTTGCAAATACTTATCAATAATCTTAGATACTTTTTTCAGATTTTTTGTATATTATTCTATAAATGTCATCTCAGCTTCCCATCTCTCAAAATAGTGCAAGATGGCTTAGATTTTCATGAATTATTTTAAAAGTTTGTGTATATTTCTGTGATACTGTTACTGTTTTGAGCTTTTACGTATGAAAGTATTTCAAAATGGCAATAGTGATTGTGTTTACGATAATTTACTTTGAATAT